CATTAAGCACTTCCACTCATTTATCCCTTCATTCTGCCTTCAAGCTATAGAGTCTGTGTCCCACCCATTCATCCTTACCCTTCTCACGTCAAGGCCATCTCTTCTTCAATCCTTCATTAGTACCACAGGCTTTGGGGTTTTCCTGTTCCCTTTTTAACTCGTCACTAGCATGGTTGCCTGTACCCTTCTCAGAATGTTCCTGGTATATCCCACCCTTCATCTGCTGCGCCTCATTTTCCCTCTCCGGATATTTTGTGGGCGACTCTTCCCCTGTGCCTGCTGAACGACTGCATTGTCACTGCATTGATGCTGCATTGCCTTGGCAGGCCAAAATCTCCCCCGGGGCCAGGAAGATCATGCACTAGGGAGGCTCATACACATGTTTTCTTGTGTCTCTTTGGTTCTCCCGTCCTTCTCTTGGCCCAGAGCCCCGGTGCCGGTGACACCGGTGGGCGGATGGACAACCGGGGAGCAGAGGACCTCCCGCCGGCCCGTCACTGTCCAGGGTCCTGAAACCCAGCAGCAGGCTGGGCTGACTGCTGCCTGTACCCCCCTGTAAGTGTCAAAGAAACAGAGGTATCTCGAAAGCTAACCCCCAAATTTCCTGCTTAATATAGAGGAAACTTATCAACCTGCTAAGGTAAAGCATCGTGCATCTATCTAGTAAGAAATCTTAAAAAATGACGTGGGGGGAAGAGAATAACATTGCTATAAAATGAAGTTGGTGGCTTGTTTTTATTAATCAGGCTTGCTATTTTTGTCAGATATCAGCCCTTGATCTTATGAGGATTCTTCAGGGACATCATGGAAAAACTAAGAGCCAGATTGTAATTCTCCCATGACTATGATTCAGGGGTAATTGTACTGAAGTCAAATTAAACTAATGTGAAACAGATGTAAGTGGGTTCAGACAGAGACTCAGTACTATGCAGCTTGAGTTAATAGTTCTTTACATGGCAGACTTTTTACTGAAAAAAATGCTACATTATACTATTACATTAATAATGTGCATGTACTGTACTTTTCCAGGTAGAATCAAAGTGTTAGGTACCTACTCACATTTTTTCATTTTTACATTGTAGTCCTTGCTAGTGATATGAAGGGACTGATATAACAGTTGTCTGAAAGCTGGAGTCTGGCTAATGAGGAATGGTTTCCAACAAAGAACTGAGGATGAAGATGATTACAAACTGTGAACCAGGTACCCCCTCCCCTGTTCTGGCATTTAGAGGGTGGATGATTGAAGTGGGTCTGAGGATACGAATGATGTGTTAGGTTATAAGAGGCAGGATCCATAGCATATTCTGTTTAGCGTCACGGGCCAAAGGAACCTGCAGACAGGCTGTGGTAACTCAAACAGGTCACATCTGAGAAGATACTGTCCTGGCAAAGGCTATTACTGAGCTATAATTGCCTCGGGTAGATTCACTGATTTCATTGAAACCATTTCTGCCAATAAGTAAATTTTCTGTTCAGTGGATTCAACCCTGATTGAAGACACAGCACTGCATGTTACAACTTAAAAAGTACTGAGAAACTGCGTGCAGTAGAAGAAAATGAAAATCATAAGTTGCTTTTCCTTGCACAGTGCATAGTAGTCCAGATTCTTAGTTAATTTCTTGATTCCTAATTGCACTAAAGCTTCTGAAAGCCATCTAAAAAAAAGATCTTCAGGTTATCCTAGAGAAAAGGCTTTTAATATTCTCTTAGACAGAAAGCTTTCTAGAGAATAAAGAAGTTATAAAAGGATTCTGCACTGGATGCTGTCCAAACTCATACTACTGAAGGATGGGTCAATAGTATATAAAGAGCAGGACGCACTTCACTTGGGTTATTCTCTGGCTCTTTTGGTCTGAGTGTAAATAACAGCAATCCTGTGGCAATAAGCTCAATGAAGAATGATCTTCACAATCACAAATACCAGATTTCAAACAACCATATAGTTAAGCATAAACTGAATAGTTATATACACAAGTGAGCATATTGCAAAGTGATGCCAAAAAGACTGTCTAGACTTCTGTCTAACCATGTTTTTTCAGTGCATCCAAGAAATGGAATATACAAGTTACAGAGGATTTCTATCTACTATTGATGCGTTTTCCTCTTCCTGCTCACTGGATTTAAGTAGGTATAAGATCTATTTATTCATCTATTCTGTTACGACTTTCTTTGAGTTAAATCAGAACAGCTTCTGAATCACTCATGCCATATTATTAATGAACAGTAAAAGGGCACTTAGCTTTGTATTTTTCTTTCAGTGAGATTGCTTGTAATAGAAAGCCTCTTGTCTATTGTGTTGTGACTGTGACAGGCCCAGTGCTGTAAGGCGCTGATTCTCAGCTAACGACAACTCTGAGGGCATTAAGTCTGAACAATAAGCCCTAAATGAAAAGGCAGGTCAGTCTGATAAACTACCAGTAGCACTACTAGTTGAGTCCTGAAAATTCTTATGCACTTACTAAAGGAGATTGATCATGCTATATATAGTTTTTTGTCTTGGTGGTCTTTCACTTAAATATTAAAAATTGCTGAATCCACTCAGCTTATAAAAGTTGACAGAGTAACAGCTTGAAACACTATAGCTTCAAGGCACTGGTTGTCCCTATCATGAGAATTCGACATCACTGAGGGGTGAAAGGCCTTTTATTTGCATAAGATAATAGTTACGTTTCTATGCAACAGCTGTGCTGTCAGTGAAAGATGCGCTCATTGTGCCAAATCCATCTCTGGAGTAACCCCATTGATTTTAAATGAGTTACTTTGGGAATAAATTGGCCCACTAGATAAAACTGCAGGTCTGAGGCATCGAAATAATTGAGAAAGATTTCCATGATCATAACATGGTAAAAAACTGCAAAACAGTTACATGACGTCCTGCATTTATGTACCTGACAGATCACAATTGCTTTGCCGCAAGGTTTAGGAATCCTATAGCTTGAGCAAATGTTTGTGTAGAGCTTACAGAAACTTTTTGGCAATCCAGGAACATTAAGAGGATGCAAGAAATGGGAATATGGTATTGTGTCATTATTATCTAATTAGCATTACTGTAAGTGAAACAAATATGAGATATCTTTCTAAGGTCAGTTTAATAATAAAGGATTCATATGCGCGCTTGAAAATTCCTCCTCTTTAGACAATAAGAGTCAGGATTTGTTTCTGGTCATGAACTACCTGGGGATTGCACCTATAGACCGTAGACTTCCTGCGTATGGTAGCAGGAATGGAATGCTGTTGGCCTGTCAGCAGCCTGTTTGAGTTTGGTGATCTTACCCGAGTTCTCAGTGGACAGTTGCCTTTGGCACATTCCCCACCTCATTAGTTAACTGCTGATAGTTATGGCACAAAGGCAAAATAGTGCTTGGGTTGGGGTGACTGAGCTCCAAGTCACAATTGAGTAGTATATGCCTATATGTTAGTTTTCCCCAGTAATGTACAAGGAAGATGCCAGTAAACTGGAAACTGTTTTGAATGCTGAGGAAAAGTTACATACGTGCATATATAGATGATATATTTGTGTGTGTAAATATATAAGTAGTTCTTTATTGTCACATATTTGATAAGTGATCTTTCTGGGGGTTCAGAAACCTTCTTTGAAACCTTTTTGGTTATTAGAATAATGAAAAGATTCCCCAGTCATGATTGAGGTGATCGCACAGCACAATTAGCAAAGCCTACTCTCACTTTTGTTTCCATTCAGTTTGCAGAAGTAACGTCAAGAGGAATCCCGGAGCCTGTTCCGAATGCATCGTGCTCCGCTTGCCAAGGAAATACCTTGTGCTCCTGATGTCATCATTGCAATCATCTCAAATTCAAGTCTGCCCCAGCAGGCTCATTATCATTCTCACCATGTCCTCCCTTAGAGCAGCCTCTCCCGCCTCCTCCTGTACAGCACAAAACAAGAGCCACGGGGGGTGCTTGGATTAGGGAAAGGAGAGACACCCAGCACCTCCCCCCAGGAAAACTTGCTGCACTTATATCCAGTTCCTTCAAACTACGTGCTGCATTACAGGACCTGGCACACCGATGCCAAGGGAAGGTGTGGGTTCACAAGTACTGATTTCCCCTTCCTGCTTCGTGTGGAACAAAGACTGGGGACAAGCATGGATGTGTGTATTTAGCTTCCAAAGATATGAAAAGAGTGTGCCAGCCTCCACAGTGAGAGTTTCCTGAGGAGAGCCACACATTTCAGACTGCTTTATTTGGGTTGTTTCTTTTTTTTCACCAGGGCAAATTTCTCCCTTTCGTCTTACAAGAATAACTAACATCTGAGCAACAGATAGGAAGGCAAGACAGAGAGAGAGTGGCTGAACAAAAAGCGGGGAACAAATTGTCTCAAGCACCAAGTTTAGATCACAAACATGTTTCCTAAAAATTTGGAAGGTCCTGGCCATGGACCTCAGGACTGATTCTGTCTCTAAGCCATGGCCCACGTGGATTTGTGGATCTCTTCCCCAAACCATCCTTAGCCAACCATCCCCTTCACACAAGGAGCTGATTTCCACCGTGGAAGAGAGGAGGCAGGACAGGGTTAACCCTCCAACAGTCTTCTTTCAGGCCCCCAGAGGGGCTGGGGTTTTGTTTTCCTGGCTAAGGGAGGGGAGCTGGGGCATGTATTGTAACTGGAACTGGAGACCTTTCTGGTGTTACCAGCCTGGTTTGGGTTTGAGGGAAAGCCTGGAGCAGGAGGGAGAGAAGAGAGAACGCAGACTTGGAAAGCAGCGAATGTCTGACAATTGCACAAGGTAGAGCCAAGTGTCCTCCATTTCCCCGAAGCCCCCTGAGAGCTTAGGGGGGCTCCGAGAAGCCTTCAGCCTCCCTCCCACCCCTCCTGCCCCCTCCCCGCAGCCTGGACGCATCTTTCAGCTCTGCCGTGCCAGCCTTTTCCTTGACTCCGGGTGTCCATCCCTGTCCACAGAAAGGACAGAAGGGGGAGCGGGAGTCCCCTGCCTTTCGGGGTGCCTGGTCCTGGTCCCCTGGAGCCTGCGGGGGGGGCTCGGACGATCCCCTGCCCTTCCCCTCCCCCTGCGCCGCAGAGGCTGTGGATGCTGCCGTACTCCTGCCATGTGCTGCCGCCGCCTCTCCTGCTGCTCGTAGCTCAGTCGAGCGTGTCTCCGGCTGCAAACTCCGCCAAACAAGCCTGCATCCTCCTCCAGGGAAGGATACCCAGTAAGTACCAGTAAGCCGGAGCCTGCCCCCTCCCTAGGGCACCCCGCCACCGCCGCCTCTTTACAAAGGGACTCGCAGCCTCTTGCCCCGCTCCCTCTCCCCACCCCCTTTTTAAGCCAGTGCAGAGAGGGGCTCCGTGAATTCCCTCCAAAGCTATAGGGTGGCTCCCTCCTCCTCCTCCTCCTCCTCCTTCTTCTTCTCCTCTTCCAGCTCCGGCTCTCCTGGGCGAGCCAGGCTGCTGCTGCATCCAGCCGGGGTGGTCCCCAGCCTCGCCCCAGCCATGCCGCTGCGGCTCGCCCCCCACGGCTGACTTTTGTTACCCCACTAATGCCCGGGGCGAACTGAGGTGGGCTCGTTTTTGGGGGGTGGCTGAGGCTAGAGAGTGTGTGCGGGCGTGTGGGAGGTGTCCCCGGGGGCGCAGGGGGGGCTGGCTGACTCCCCCATCCTTGCCAGCCCGGGTGCCCCCTCGGGTGGGCGCAGCGGAGGGGCCGGGCTGCAGCGGGGACCCCGCCACCCTGACATCTGCAGGTGGAGCGGGCGAGCCGGCTGCGGGAGCCTCCCCGGGAGCCAGCAGCATCCTGGCCCCGCTGCCCATCTCATCCCGCTCCGTTCCCGCAGCCCCCGCAGACCCTCCCCGCTCCTCAGTCCATCCCTTCTCCCCCTCTCTCTGCTTGGGGTGCTCGCACCCCTCCTCACCTCGCCGGTACAAACCCCTCCGCTCCACTCCCTTCCCCGCCCCTCCCCACCTTCTTTGATTTATTTGTGTATTTCTTTCCTTGGCAACCACCAGTTCCCCTCAGTCAAACGGCGCAGGCTCCCTATAATTTGAAATTAATTTGTTTGACTGCAGCATTGAGACAGGAAGGTTGGGAATTTATTTAATTCTTTTTCCTCCCTGTGCAAAAAGGAAGCGATGAAATTTCCAATCGAGACTCCAAGAAAACAGGTGAACTGGGATCCTCAAGGTTGGTGATTCTCTATTACTATCATTACTATAATAATAACAATTATTATTATTCCTTGTGTCTAGTGACTCGTAGGAGACTATTTGACTCCAAATGGGAGGAGACATTGGATGCTTGTCTGCTGCCCATGTGCACTGCTCAGTCTTTCTTGCTCAATCCTAGCAGTGTGTTAGAAAATGTGAGGCTGGGCGGGTGCGTGGGTAAAACCTCTTCTAGGTGTAAGTTTTATAGTTCTATATTTGATAGCTGTCTTCCCTCCCCTCCCTTTTTCTTGAGTATTTTCACGGCAAACTTGCCTGGGATGGCAGTGGTCTCTGGCTCACAGCATTGTTTGTTTTATCTGTGGCTCCTTTGTTGTTTCTAGTGATCATTGTTTCTGCTAAATGGGTGGTAGAGGAGTGGACACAGATGTGGCTGCTCAGGGCTCCTCGATGGCAAATGTTTGTTGGCAAGCAACTGGAGCAAAATGCTGCTGCGATATAACCCGTAATGTGGATGGTATAAAAAGACACATTAAATAATGGAGCCCAAAGGGACCTTTAGTCCTTACTCTGTCCTGTTAACGATTGATCAGCCCAAGTGGGTAGTTTGATTAACTCTATAGTTAGGTTTGGAGACTGTCTGGGGGAGTGTGTTTGTGTGATGGTGGAAGGAGATTTACGCCAGTGCAGTGGTTTTTCAATAAAACGATCCAAGTGGTGTTTTAAAATGAACCATCATGAAAAGCTCTCCTTTCCTGCCATGGGGAGGAGGCTCACATGCAACCTACAGAAGAAGTGACTGAAAAAAACCCTTCTGGTAATTTGTCTACCGGTGTGTCATATTTCTGTGCATCGGTACAGGAACAGAGCAACTTGAAGCCATATGCTCAGGTTTGCAGCAGAACTGCTGGCAGCTAGTCGCTATACAGCAGTGCTTGCAGGAAGTGTGAAGTGATAGCACGGGCTTTGATTATTCAGCTTTATTCCGCAGGTTTGGTTTTAGTGGTCAATTTGTCTGTCATCCTCCGTGCCCTCACATCTACAAAATGAAACGTTAGAAACAGTTTCTCCTGGTGTAGAAGGAAAACAGCAGAACAGACATCTTTCTGCTGAGCAGATCTGATGTACTGTTTAAACAGTATACACAATTAAGCTTTAGTTTAAGCCTTACTACATCTTTAATTAGGTAAGGGCTGAATCAAGGCATCAGCCTCCGCCCTCAGCTTCACAAGGAACATATGGATAGTAGTGCTAACAGAGACGGCGTTATTTTAATAACACCATATTCCTTATCCCAGGGTCAAAATTCTGTGTGGTGAAAACTTACTCTTCCCAGGTGCTTTTCTGAATGTGTGCTTGCTGTTTCTCATTTTTAATTCATTGTATGTTGCAAAATGCCTTTTAATGCAAAAAGCCCTTTCCTCCCTTCCGTGACAAGGCACACAGGAGGCTGTACTGATGGCATTCTGTATGCAGCTCCTTTGCTTGGCAATCAGCTTTAGAGCATATGGATCCTACAGGTGGTTGGTCACAATTTACTAATGTGTCCAAAACTGTAGAGTACTGTAACAGGTAAAAGATCTCCAGCCCAGCAGGTTTCCTCTCCACCAGGCTGAATCCCTGCTGAGCACTGCAGAATCCTACCTGTTATTTCACCTCAGCACATTGACTTCGTTAGCCAGGCAGCAAGGATGCTAATGTATAGCCAGGAAGGAAGCAAAAAATGTTAATTTCTAATTCTCCAAGGCACTCAGGAAATTGATAAAATTTGTTGGACTGGAAAAAGGCAAATTGGTAAGAAAAGGTTGTGTCAGGCCCAGCCCTTTAACCAATTGTTCTCACATAGTCCCACTGAAGTATGTGTGATGTGGGGGGACGACAAAGTAGATCAGAGTTCCATTCTTTCTGAGATAAAAATATATTTATGTAGATATAAATGTTAGTAAAGATCTACACACAAGTAGTTAGCGCCCTAAAATGAATTTGATTTACAGTCACAGATGTAGGCTGTTCTCTGCATGTACACGTGAAGAATGATGTTACGTTTTGCATCCTGTGTGATATCCTTGGAGTTAAGAATTGAAGTAGCTTTTCTCAGATACAAAGATCAACCTGTAGAAAGCTGGTGGCGCAGGGATACAAGGAGTCCTAAGTATCAAAAGCTGAGCTCTTGTCCAGTTAATGTTCACACACAAATACCAGGCTCTTTTCAGTACGTACTGTATGATCCTGCCCTGTTCTGGTTGTCAGACAGAGAACGTGCAGTTTCCACAGTTTTGTCTAGTAGGAATTGTGCTAACTTGTGCTCACAGTACTTGAAATACATCAACTGATGTTCCTGGCAAGCAAGCTAGCAGGCCAACGATGTAAGTGAGAGCTATGGTATCTCAAAGATTGTTTAGAGCTGATTATTGCAGGCAATATTTTCCTGAAATGATATACATTTCGAAAGGCCAGGGCCCCTGTTGTGGAGATACGACTTCCTTGGGACTGATGCTGCTGCTGGTTTGAACCCAGGTTGGAATGATAGTTACTGAAATGAATTAATGCTCAAACTCCGTAATGCTGACTGAACTATAAATATTTACATAGATAAATAGATTATAGAGTCTGCTGGTAGCTTTCATCTGGCATAAAACTGGTATTCTCAGTTCACATCAGTGAAGATCAATATACCATGGAAAGACTTTGGGGAGAGAATTGTTTTAAAAGAATAGAATTGACATGAGGGATGGTGTCTGACAGACAGCTAATGGGAGGCTGATTTCTCAGCCATTTAACTGGAACAAACAGGGTGTGGAGACTGACCTGTGCTTTTATCCTGTTGTGTACTATCTTCACTTGTCTTGGGTATAGATTATATCTCTGTGTTCCATGTAAATGCTGAGTGGGTTTTCTATATAAATCAAATATTTCTTAAACCTGGAAGTATATAGGGTCCAGATTCCTCCAGTGAAGTCCCCTACTATCCCAGGCAATCAAACTGTATAATCCCATTAACAAACAGATCAAACTCCATCCCAAAAGTCATTGGGATTTATCCCTAACCATCCAATGTAAAATATGTCCTAGAATTTCATATATATTGATCAAAAAACCATACTATTCATATACATTGAGTGAGTGGGGTAAGAAATGAGTAAAAGACCCAAGCTAGCACCTCAAGAATGTTTTAGGGAGAGTTGAACAGACACAGGATCTCACACAACCTGGCCTTACACTTTAGAAAAGAAGCCTTCCATTTTTGTTTCTGGTGGAATCAGCCTGGATATACACAATCATAAAACATTTGATCTGCCTATCATGGATTTTTCCTTCTCCCATTTGGTGCAATTCAGGTAAAGCAGTAATAACTGAACTTAGTGAAAGATGAGGTTTTCAGTTTCGTACCTTGTGCAACTTCCCATCTATACTTTTCAGAATATAGGATTGGGTTTATAGCAGCATATGAAGACATTAATTCTTGTAATTGTTGTTCTCATCTCTCCTCTTTCCTGCATTCCTCCTGCTGTTTGTTATACCCACCTTTGTCTGTGCTTAAATTGGCTTATAATCTCTTTGTCCCCCATTATCCCCACCTGTTGTCTGTGCTTAAATTGGCTTATAATCTCTTTGTATATATAATTTTTATACAGTACCTAAACTACAGTGGGTCCCTCATCTGACTGAGACATCTGGATGTTTACAGCAATATCATTTTTTTCACCTAAAAATTATCTGCTTAAAATTGCTGTTTCTTTGTAGAAAAGAAGGGTAAATAAGACTGTGTCAAATATGCTCAGAAACTGTACTGAAGCATGACTGTGTTACAGGATGATGGTGAGATATCTTTTCCAAAGAAAAGATGTCTATCTTGGTGATGCTCTTAGTAGGCAGAAAATGGAGTTCAGTCTTGTTCCATCCTTTGTTTCTGCAGTTTTTTGCTGTCATTGCAGTGATAAGGATTGTCAAAACGTTTTTAATTTCCAGGTAGATGTTTATTTCTACATTGACCTTTTGGAACTCTGAAGTTTTGATACAAGTTCCCGTGTCCTTTCAGAAAGACATTGTTTGTGTAGGATGGCTTTCTGCAGTTTGGAACCCTAAAATCATGGATGTATTATCATCCTTACATTTAGCGTAGGAGTCAGTGGTCTGTGGGGAATTCAAGCTGTGGTTGACAGTCTGGAGTTCCTCATCAGATTTTGCCAGTGACTTACTGTTTAACCTTCAGTAAACCACTTACCCTTTCTTTTCCTCCCTTTTTCCTTGGCTGTAAAATAGGAGTATTAATACTTCCCTAATGCACAAGGGTGTTGTGAAATATAATTAACTTGTTTAGAGCAATCTAGGATCTGCTACTGAAAGAAGAGCATATGTATTGCAATCAAATGCTAAAACAATTAGGAGGGAGCAATACAGCCTGTCATCATGCACAGATCACATCAATTAAGAAATAAGGTTATCTCTGCACTTTACAACTAGAGGAAACTAGTATTACTTGCGCTTCTTTACAGACACTGAAGACTCAATTGAGTTTCCCATTAGAGGTATCTAGAGACGTTTGATATTCCCCAGCTGCCACTCCAGAGGGGCTCAGGTCTTCCAGAGGTCCTGCCATGGGATTTCTCACATCACCCAAGACACCTCAAGCACCACTGGACACGTGTATGTGGGGCAACTGAGCTGACTCTCAAATGCCTCCATGCAGGTTTCAGGATTGGATCATCCTTTGGTGACTGCTTGAAAAATCTTCAACATCAGCTACTTAGTATAAATTAAACTTACACGGCCTGTACAGTGTCACAAACTGCTTCAGTTCCTGCTTTTTCTGTCCTTTCATTCAACAACACCAATGAAAGGCAAACTTGATTATAAAGACATAGAGGAGTAGGATGAAGGTGTTCATTTCTGTCCTCTGTTTGCAAGAAGATATATGAGAAGAAGTAGAGTGTAACTATGAGCTAAACAGTATCTTTCTGTGCTCAGAAGTCAGTAACTCAGTATGAGACGACTGCTATGGAAAGCTATAACATGAAA